CGTTTAGGTGTAAATCTTTACAAACCTGTCGTCAAAAAAAAAAAAGTTTAAGATCACTGAAATGAAGCACTGAATCCACAGTCCTTCCAAAGGCCATCCTTGCGTTTTCATCCTTTCATGCACAGCACCTCGCTCTTGCTTCCAGACCTTTTACTTCAGTCCCTTCAAACGGGGGCGCACAAACAAGCAAATTTGGCACTCGCTTGCCTGCCTGTCTGTCTCCAACCACACAGACAGGACAGATAGACGGGACAGACAGGCAGCGTGCGGAATGATGAATAAAGAACTTATCTCAGTTACTCAGAAAGCAGCCAGACACATTTCCAACCCAGCCCAATTCACTGCAGGGCACCACATATCTCAGCCTGCCTGTCTGCACGTATCTCTTCACTGCTGTCTCTCTCATTCGGGCCGTCTCTCTCTCTCTCTCTTTGACAGCCTGACACTGTGTTTGTTGCTATTCTTGTCTTCCTCTGTACTGCGCAGTGTGCGTGTGTGCGCGTGTGTGTGTGTCATAGTTGTATATGCTGAGAAACTCACACATCAGCTCATTGAAGCCACTCTAATAAAAACCCACGCTTTTTCTTCAAACACGGTTACGAAAACAGAAAGGAATCCCCAGAAGAAGACTCTCAATATAACTGCAGACATCCTCACACAGCCACTTCAGTTTCTGCGCTTTTGCTGCCACTGTTGGAAGCGTTCAGTAGCGACTTTGACTTCATTTTTGAACGGGATTTGTGGCCTGTTGGGTCCGTGAAGGAATGCCTATTTTGCCCCCTTCATGAATGTGCTAATATAATCAATATGAAGGGAAAAGTTGTTTTTTTTTAAAAAAAAAATAAATAGCGTGTAACATTTTCACAGGAGGACAGATGAGAAGAAGGAAGCCTTGGGTGGAATTGCTTCATGAAAATATAACTCACAGTCAGCAGTCCTGTCTGAAAGTAAAAATATAGACACTGTGGTCTCCTGGTGCGGTTAATGCACCAAGTGTTTCTTATTTCCTCTTCGGATAAGTGTTACTTTTTAATGCTCGTTACAGTGTGTATTCACAAGTGGGTTCATTGTGCTGCTGTGGGGAACGTACCAGATGCCTCACCATTTTGGCTCCGTTAATTTCTCTGAAGAGAAGCGGGATCCTGTATGGATACACGGCGGTCTCGCGCGTGTGGATGTATAAAAGTGCGTGTCTGATGTAAAAAGATCCGTCACATATATCTGGCTGCAAATAGGAAGACACGTCGGGAGGAGCTGCCTTATGTACGCAGTTTGTAGTTAAGAAATGAAAATCTATTTATATATTTCCAATGAGTCACCAGAGAGCGTACAATCTGAAGAAGTTTGTTGTGGTATTTTTGTGCCATATTAATTTAGGATTTAGGCTGGGGAAGCCCAGGCTTTTCTTCATGGGAAATGCATGAAATCGTTACAAGAGGCTATCATAGGTGATAAAGACTCTTTTCTCTGTTTTAATGAATTTTTCAACCGTTTATTAGAAAAAGGAGCAAGTGCGCAAAGCATTTTGCATTATTTTTATTTATTCACTCATTAAAATAATTCATCGTCACTCATCTAATATTTTTATTTATTATTATTATTTTTAAGATGTAAACATTCCCCCCACAGCCAATATGGTAAAAATGCATTTATAACGTAAACCTTAGGAGCACGCAATGCAAATCCAGTTCATATGACATCAACCGCCAAGCAAACCGCAGATTCCTCCATCAGTAGAATTAAAATGGGGCTTAAATTAGTCCGCAAACCCCGCAGGTAAACTGAGTGACTAAACCCAAGCACCGTCCTCTATTATCCTCACCAACCTTTGCGCTTTATTTGCAGAACAAGTTGAGAAAAACAAAAAAGTTATAGAAGAAAAAAAAATCTGTCCGTGACTTACCTCACTTCAACTGACTTGAGGCTGCAGCCCGAGTGAAACAGTAAGATGCTGAGGAGAATCACAAACGTCTTTCTCAGAGAAGTCCTTCCACCGAGAATGACTCCCAGTTTTTTGCGCTCCTATTTAACGCAGCGCCAATAAAAACTTTTTTTTCAGATCCACGGATATAAAAGCCATTATAAAATCAATCAAATGCTTCTACAGCTTTCCCCACATGTCTACCTTTTAATTATGAGAAGAATTAATGATCTGCGGTGCGCGCGGTGGAGGAGAGGAGAGGAGCGTGGAGCAGGACGCCGGTCTGATGCGGTGACAGTTGACTGCCCGGTAATCCAAGTGCGTCTAACAGCCTCCCGCTTACGCGGACGAGCGTGTGGTGGGAGCTCCTCCTCGCCTGCTTACCTCCGTCTCTGCATTAAAGACACAGGAGAAGCCTCTGCACAGCGTGTGTGCGCCGGGCTCGGACACTCAAATCGAAAGAAACAGACACTATAAAGAAAAATTATGGCGATATGCCAGAACGCGTCCAGTCTGTGGCAGTTGCAGTTGAAACGCCTTGTTGGAGTTATAGCATTTTCTCTGCTCCCCCTTTTAACTCTGTAATCTAACCTTATAAAGACAGTATTGAGCTGTCAATATACTTTTTTTCTGTCACAAATCTCTTATAATAGGTACTCGTGGCATGATATGTGACCAACCATCATGCCATTTGTGACAGATCGTGTAATATACAGTGAAGGGGGATACATCGTTTCATAATATCTACTTAGGAACCCTTCCAGACACGTCATAGGGAATACATTCATGCTTTAAATTTCGATTTTGTCTCATTTACATCCTTTTTTAACTAATTCTTTTTTATACATGCTATTCATTGTGTTAAGCTTTGCTGCTGATTTCACCGAAAAATCCATTCAAAGGGTACATTAGGGGCACTGGACCATAGAGGTATCTTTTTACAGACAGATATGAATAAAAAAAACAAGACAACCCAAAACCTTTTTTATGTTTCCAATGTGCAGTAAGTCACACAATCAAAAAAGTAGCATTTGTCACTGATGCGAACAGGTGGGGAAAGGTTATTTACGTCAATACAACCAATTCAGTTCAATTCAGTTCACTTTAATTGGATTTATATAGCGCCAAATCCAGGCAACAGTCAACTCAGGGCGCTTTGTATTGTAAGGTAAAGATCCTACAATAGGGACAAAAGGATAAATCGTGCCTGTGTGCCTGCCGAGGTAGCGTGGATGATAAGAAAAGCCGATCTAGAGATGGATATTGAAAGTAGTGCAGAATACCAAGAAGCATTATAGCATTATTTATTTATTACCTGGTTCCTGAAACATAATAAGTTTCACTTTAAAAAGATACCGAGAGAAAAACTGGTGCATATAGATTCACCAGAAAGCAGGAAACTGAGTGTTTGATGATTCCTGTAGGACTACCAGACCTCCCCCAATGTTCAAACAAAACCCAAGCCCACGCTCTGCAGGCATCTCTTTACTACACGCATAATAGTGCAGCAGTAATGAGACTACTACACTAGAGCAAAAGAGAGAGTAAAGACTAGTAAAGTATTAAAGAGACCTCTAAAAAAGGATCTACCTTTGTTATTCACTCAGACTTGGAATCTGCGGTGAACCCTTCAAAATAATGTCATCACAATCCAGGCAGGATGGAAACGCCACCACACAACTTACTGTTAACAGTGTGATCATCTTTAATGACAGAGAAGGCTTCCATTCTGCAGTCACCGAGATCACGGTACTAACAATCAGCATGGGAATTAGAATACACTCTTCACGTCAAGCTGATTTTCCCCAGGACGGCTGATGAGTTATTGGTGGATTGAGTCCATTATCCGACTGCCATGTATGTATCCTATTTATCCCGTCTGTTATTCATCAGGTTTTTTTTTTTGTTGTTGTTGTATTTTTAAAGGAATATAGCTGAGGCAAATTAAAAAAAAGAAAATGCAAATCACTGTGAGCATAAGTTACTCACCTAGAAAATGATTTCCCTATTTAAGGCACAGTGTTTGGTGTTTGGTAGCCTGGCTTGGCTTTTAAATCACCACCGGTGTACAATGAAAGTGCTTAAAAAACCCAGTGTCTTCTTATTTTTGTTTTGTTGAATCACAACTTTCTCCTTGCACTTAATTACAAGCACAACCAGATGTTTGTGTCCAATTCCTGTCATCGCAGTTTTGACATTCATCTCTCTTCATCTCGCCAACATGCGCACAGACAACCGCAAACAGTAAGCAGTGATGAACATGCAGCTGCATATTTATAACACATTACGACAGTGCCAGACATGATGAGCCTGTCATCGCTAAAGCCATGCAATCTGCAAGCGAGCGGCGCTGCCTTCAAACCAGCAGTAATGGCAGAACATCCACTCGGGAGAAAGAGAGGAGTGGACAAACACAATCTACTTGGGAATGTTTGTAATCTTCCAACGCTGGGGAAAAAAAACACGTTGCCATTGTCAGCTACATTTTTACATGCACATGTGCACACCTGCATACGTCAGATTAACTTTAAATCATCCTACAGGGGAAAAAACAACACAAAGGAAAATCTCTAAATAGAAAAAGAAAGAAGGCTATTGGTTTTTTTCTTCAGCTCTCTATTTCAAATGACTTTCTCCTCTGGCCACCCCTAGATAAATGTCATTCCAAATGCACAACACCATAGTTATACAAGAAATCCCTCCTGTCAGAATACCCTCTTTCCCTGGTAGCATTTGAAGTCGTGCTGGCTGATGGTGCTGCGGCTAGAGGACACTTCCATGAAAAAGCAAACCCTCTTCAGAGAATCCCTCATTATGGTCAGCTGTGGTGATGATGGACGCTGGAGGATGGATGATGAAAATGAAGCTGAAGCCCGTTTTATGGAATCCACTGTGATGTGAACCTAGAGGATAATGGTGCCACAGCAAAGAACATACAAGTTTGGACGCCAGTGTTGGCGACATCTGTGTGCTGCATTTAACGTGACGCCACCGCATCCCATCCCACCATGAACAAATGCAATAATCATCAGCGTTGCAAGTTAAGGACTGCAAGGAATAATTACACACAATAGAAGAAAAGTAGATACGTCTGTCCCTTTCTTTCATATACAGTTAAGTGAAAAGGACAGTACAAGCCACGATTCAATCGTTTTTAGGACCAACTTTAGCAGCAATATCTTAAAGTGATTCTTTTCTGTAGGACTTAGTCAGTCTCACATCATTGTGGAGGAAATCTGTCCCGCTTGTCTTTACAGTGTTGCTTGATTTATGCACAGCTGTCTTAAGGTCTTGCCTCAGCATTTCAGTTGGGTTGAGGTCTGGATTTTGATTGGGCCATTTTTTTTCAGTTGTTTTGCTGCTGTGCTTGGGATCATTGTCCTGTTGCATGACCCAGTTTCAAACAAACTTTAGTTGTCACGCAGATGGCCTCACACTGAATTTGGTGGGATCTTGACTCCCGGGAAGACTGTAGTGCTGTGTTAGGACACAGCTGACTGCTCCAGAAAGCAAACTGCCAAAAGTTGTGCTTTTACAGAGGGGCTCACTTATTGATGATCATGTAATCAACTGGATCGATTAGTGGCACCTGGCAAGGGTAAGGGTGTACTTAGTTTTTCACTGGAATTAATAAAGAAATAAAGGCAACTTTCAGGTACTGCAGGTAGCTCTGCATATTCCTGATATGGCTGATTTGTATACCAGATGCCCTTTGTGACCACCCTATGTAAAGCACTACACTATGGAGACACTGTATTAAATCTATAAATATGTTGGTTTTAATCCAGCTTCCAGCTAGCTAACAAAATAAAATATCAATAAAATTATACACTACCAAAGCCTCTTCAAGGGTTGTTTCTTGATGACATAATCACTTTTGTGTCTATCTGTGCTTAAACCTAAGATGACCCTGAATAAATACAGTCATTATTTGTTTTTACATAAGGTTTTAATCAAATCAATATTCCTATGTGACAGTCCAGGTTCACACTAAAGAAGCTTGTCTGCTGTGAGAGCAGGATACTGGTTTCTGCACACTACATTCCCAGCGCCAAACAGTAAGCAGCACTCTTGTGAGCATACTTGGGCACTAAGCAACTAAAAGCAAAATATATCACTCATCCACCTGACATTGCTGGCAAAAAACTAAAAATCAGACTTCCATTCATGATGTGCTCTCTTTTTTAAAGCTTCATTTAATTTAATGTATTCATTTGATCTACCAAATTCACATAGTGGTTTCAGATGTTTAGAGGTTGAGCATTTTTTTCTGCATCTGAATGGTTTTATGCAGGCGTTACTTGGTGCACGTACAGTGACAAATATCTCAGCATTCACATCAATGTGTGAGTACTGCATTAAGTAGAATATCCTGCACCTATCCCTCAGTACCACCTTTGCCACAGGTTCAGCATCAAGAACAGACTTTCATTTGCTGTGCTCTCCCCATAGGCTGCGTAACAATGTCTTTTCCCTGAGTGCTAACTATACTTTCAGAATGTAATCATTAAAAAACATTGTATTTAAATCACAAAACTAGCTGGTGAGACCCAGGGCAACTTTTTTTTTTTTTTTTTTTACAGTTTACTTCATAAGTCAGACTACTCGAGTTACACTACTCATCTTTTGAGAAAAGCACCATTTTTTGTGCACTAATACTACAACTAATATATTTTCACTACCAAGGACAAGGCTTTAATATTCATCTTAATGCAAGAAGTCAGAGTTTTAGAGTTACCTTTCTGGCAATAAGATGCCTGCAATCTGGTCTTTAAGCCTGACGTCATTAGTCATTTCCGGGTCCAAACTCAGCTTCAGGTCCCAAAGTCAAACGAACACTGCGGCATCACTGAGAATTAAAAACTCTCTAAATTCTTTCATCTATAATAAAATGATCAGTGTGACTGCTCTACCAGGTGTAACAATTAAGTTTGACATCCAGGCATCCATGATGGTTTACCGGAGTTAGAAGTTAGCAGGGAGTTAGCTCGCTAGTTTCCACCTAAACATAACAT